CCGCCGCACCCAGCATGGCGGCCGGCGTCAGCACGGCGCCCATGGCCGTGCCGCCGCCGCTGTGGGCTTTTCCGCTGTTGGGGGCGCTGATCTCGCATTCGGCGCCGGGCTGGTGGTGCAGAACAAAGGAGCGTTCCTTGGCTGCACCGCCGCCGGCGCCGAGGCTCACGCACAGAGCGCCAGACCTGTTGAGGCGCAGATGGATGGATTTTTCGCAAAATGGGAAGCCTGAAAAGCAATCTTGGCGCCCGAGAGAGTGGAAGGCGAGGGGTTGCGATCCGTGGGTGGTGGCTGCGCCTCACCCTGTCCCCTGGAAGCTGCCATGGCTGCAGGAGGTCTTTGTGAGTTGCCTCCTGCCTCGGGGTGAACAAGTTGCATGACGTTACACGCATGCCCGTGCTGCCCTGCGCTGTGCCGACTTGCCCTGTCCTTCCTGCACAGTGCTGAGGTGCCACATGCTATGCTGTGCTGTGCTGTGCTGTGCTGTGCTGTGCTGTGCTGTGCTGTGCTGTGCTGTGCCGTGCCGTGGTACTGCGGCGCCCGACATTCCCGACTCACCCATGCAGTTGCTCCGGCTCGCGTCCGAATACGACGCTATGGCTGGTCTCCAGCTTCACGACCCCTCGCCCCTGCGGCAGCCGCAGCACACTCGCCCCGCGCGCCCCAGAGAGACTGAAAGAACGACCGGCCGCCTCGGCGAACGGCGAGCTCCGCGGCGCGGCCGCTGATGGAGTGACCGCCGCGGCGGCGGCGGGCTCGCGGCGGGAGAGGCTGGCGCCGCCGAGTCCGCTGGGGGCCCTCGCGCAAGCGCTGGGTGCGGCCGCCGCAGACGCTCTGGCGGAGGAGGCGCGCGCGACCTCTTCGTCTTCCTCGTCGCTGCCATCGTCGTCGTCGACGGCGAACGGGCAGCCGGCCCAAGGGTTGTCCCTTGGCGCCCGCGGCGGCTGCTGCTGAGGCAGCTGCCCGCCGGGCAGCTGGACCTCGAGGGCGGCGCTCTGACTGACCAAGGCCCCCGTGGTGACGTCGATGATGTCATCTATGTGCAGCGTTAGCAGCGGCAGGCGGGCCGCGGCCGCCACGGTGACCGAGCGGCGCCGGACGAGGACGGGCGCGCCGCCCACATTGGCGTGCGCCGGAGGGGCCTGCAGGTTGGAAATGGTGCGGGTCGGCAGGTGTCCGTGATCTTGATGGCTGGGAGGCCACCGCAGGCTACTGAAATTGTCAGGTGCGGGAGCGCGTTTGAAGGCAACACATTGTGCGTGCGCATAAATGCGCTCCGCAGGGAGCGGGCCCATGAGCCCAGACACTCAGCCGGTGCGCATGCCTTGCCTGGCCGTTGGGGGTGCCTCGTGCGCTGGCCGCAGCTGCGGCCGGTGAGCTGCGAGCAATGAGCGCTACCGGCATGGTGAATTTTATTTGATTACAGGCCTGAATTGTGCTGGCAAGCTACCACAAAGGCACAAACGCGGCCATTCCGGTCGAGGAGTGTCCAGTTTGTTCAGGCCGCAGACTATAGGATAGAATTGCAGGAGTGATCGATGCAAACTTCGTGACCAGGATAGCAATAGAGAGGTATCACGAACGGGCCTGCGAAAAGTGAAGAGTGATGTAGGAACTGGCCGTCTGGACCGTTGGGAGGGTACGAAAGTGTGAATGTGCGCGTGTTTCTTGTGTCCACCATTATTCGTCCCTGACCGGGCAACCTTGTCACCCGACCCCGGGCACTCAGGTTGAAATCCCGTACCTTCGTCTCAATGCTGCCCCAGACCCATCACCCTTGCGCACGCGCAAGTCTGAAAAGCAGCCAGTGCACCCAGCTCTACGTGGCCACACGCGCTGCGCCGCAGCGCGCAAACCGACTCCGACCTCCGCACGCCGCTGCTAGCTTTGAGGAATCAGAGGCGTACGAGGACGCCACCGTCGCCACTGGTCGCATCGGATGGCCACACTCTTGGCTCGAGGCCGCCATTGGTGGGACGGGCGCCCGCTGCGCGTGGCTCTCAGCAGCTTGCAAAAAGATCTTGGGACGCTTTTCGGCCTCGGCGCCTATCTGTGCCCTGCTGCGCCATTTCACAGCACCCCCTCCTTGGTCATGAAAATGCTCAAGATGACATACAAAACATATAATGTAACAGAAAAGATAAAACCATGCACACTCTCACAGTCTCCAAGCTGGGAGACCACCTCAAGTCCCAGGGGCTCGATTTTTACACCCAAGATGACCTCGCAGCCCTGCTGCCTCAGCTCGCGCCGCGCCTGCGGGAAGCTGGGCGGCAGCTGCAGCGGGCGGGTGTGCAAGTGCCTCCATATGTACAGGAGCCATTTCATGTCTGGCATGGGCACGGCGCGTGGGCGCCAGCGGCAAACAGGTGGGTGAGCGTGTGCAGGGAATGCAGTGGCGCCAGCCGATCGAGTCAGTTTGCGCGTGGGGTGCACGGCGCTGCTTGCTTGCAACTTCCGTAGGACGATCAGGCAGCGATTTTTACACAAGGGCAGCGCCGGCTAGCACAGGCGCACGCGCATCCCTGCACAAGGAGCATTCACAGACAACACACACGCACACACACACATGCACGTGCGCACGCGCGCACACACACACACACACACACACACACACACACACACACACACACAATTCCATTCCTTCAGAACCTTCTTAATAATGCCATGTCCTGCCGCTCTCGCCCCGCGAATCGCCCAACCCCCACGCCTCAAACCCAGTGAGGCCGTCATGTCCATGTTTGCCTTTCTCGCGCTCTGCGACACCGACAAAGCTGCGCTTGCGGCAGCGCACCCGTCCCCGATGCGCGCCGCCCGGCCGCTCGTCATGTCCCGCGTCCTTGACGCCGTCATAGCCCGCCTCGGCTGCTCACGATCTGAGGTCGCGCGAGGCGCCGAGCTTGGTTGTGGCAGCGGCCGGCTGTGCCGGCTGGCGGCGCAGCTGCTGCCAGGGGCGGAAATTGTGGGGGTCGACGCGTCGCCCTACATGGTGGCCTGGGCCAACGTTGGCGAGCTGGCAGCCCCTGACGAGGTGGGACTCCTTCGGCTGTCCACACCATCACTCACCCTCCTCCAGATTGCGTGTATGTCTATACAAACAATGGCCGGGGCTACATGAGTGCGCGTCGCATTCTCCACCATCTCCCATCCCGGCGCGCAGCCTCAGAGCTCGACGGCCGCAAACCGCGGCGCTTCCGCCCGGGTCGACTGCAGGTGGTTGGGGGCGGCCGTCTTAGCTTCAGGGCTGGCCTGGGGGAGGCCACGGGGCTGGAGGCAGGCACCTTTGATTTCGTCATGGTGAGCCCGCGCGCCAGCGACAAGCGCGGCCGCTGCTGTCCCCTGCACAGCACGCGCACGTGCGTGCGCAGGGTTGGTCTTCAGCACGCGCACACACACGCGTGAGGTCTTGTGGGTGGAGCGCCACCCAGCGTGGGCGCTCTGACGGCAACTGAATTACTAGGCACCCCTCCCGCCCATCCCTGCACCCTGCAACCAATTCATGCGCCGCTTGACCGCCGGCATCGCTGACCTCCAGCCCCAAGACACACAACGCCCCGCTTGCTTCAACGACAGATGATAATTCAATCGGCCAAATGGCCCATCCACCAATCACCCAATCAACCGGTCGGCCAGTCAGCCATTCGGCCGGCCAACCAACCAACCAACCAACCTACTAACCAACCAACCAACCTACCTTTCAACCACGCAAACAGGTGCCCTTTGTCGCCCACGAGCTGCCCCACTCCGCACGCCTGGCGTTTCTGGCAGAGGCAAACCGCCTGCTGCGCCCCGGTGGCGTGGTGGCATTCGTCGACCATCGGCAGGACGGCCTGGAGCACGTCATCTTCCACAGGTGGGCACGCGGCGGTTACGGGTGACGCCGGCCATGCGTCCGCCCTGGCGGGTGACAAAGTGAGGCGGCCGGAATGCGCGGGTGACGCAGGTGCTGCAGGCAGCCGTTGATTTCTGGGTATCCCTGCAAAGGCCAGGCCCCTGGCGCGAACAGCCGATGCACAGTGGCTAGGCACAGGCGCCGCAGCTTGCCCTAAAAATCACCCGGCAAAATCGGTGGCGTGTGGGTGTGCGCACAACCCGCAGGCTCAAGGGCGCCGCGCCGCTGCTGGGTGATGCGTTCCATTGGCTGCTGAATGTCGGGGCGCCTGAGCCCTTCATCAGAGAGTACCATGAGCACCTCATGCAGGTGGGTCGCGTTGGTGCTCGCCTTTGTGTGCATACAAGTGCGTGCGTGTCTCGTGTGTGTGTGTGTGTGTGTGTGTGTGTGTGTGTGTGTGTGTGTGTGTGTGTGTGCGCGCGTGCGCGCGCGTATGCATGCGTGCGTGCGTGCGCGCGCGCAGTTGGGTCTGGGCATGTGTGCATGTGAGAGTCTCTGCGCACGTTTTTGTGTGTGTGCGTGGCGTACAGCCGCTTGCATGGCCAGGATGGCAGCAGGGTTAGGTGCGCTGTGGCACAGTCGTCGAGGGCGGCAACGCTCACAATTCAAGACAACCCATGCGGAGTCGCCCAGACATGCCACCAGTGCCACCCATTTTGTGCTCCCCAGGACTCCTTTCGTGAGGCGGGCTTCGAGGGCGGCGAGCGGTCCGGCTTTGTGGACGTCACACGGTGGCAGCAGGCCATGCTGGCCACAAAGCCGCGCTGACGGGTGTTGGGTGACTGTATCTCACCCAGCAACGTGGGTGCCGCGCATGACGCACTCGGCAAAGCGTTGTGCAGGATGCTTGCAAAGGTGCGGCCGCTGCGCCCTCAACCGTTCCTGTCAGGGATGGGCTGATGTGTGGAAGTGCGCAGGGCGGGTCGAGGTGGCTGGACGTTACTCAAGGGTCGCAGCTGCGACAAAGTCGTGGCGCTTCTGCACTGCGCTGCCGGAAGCGGGGGCTGCTGCTCCTCCTGCAGTTGCGAGAGCAGCAAATGCGCAATGGCACCGCGCTTTTACGTCTGTGTGTGGGCCTGCCTGCACCGCTCCTCATTCCGACAGCCATCCGACAGCCACCCAGCTGCATGATATCATGCCGGCCTGTGGAGCAGCCGCCATGGCCAACCGACAGACGTGACTGGTGTTGATTTGGTGCAGCATGACCAAAATTCAAATCCTGTAAGTACATGAAGGGTGTTCAGGGCGGCAACTGCGCAGCCGGTTCGATTCCCACAAGACTTCTGTGCTACTCATGTGTGACAGCCGCATCACCGTCTAAGCATCTCTTCTGTGCGTGTGGTCTGGGGGGTCTAGCAGTATGGCAGTCAGGGATGCAGCAGTGCAGCGCGCATGTGTCGAGGTGCCGCTGATACCTACAGCGAGAATGTATGTCCCATGCCCAGGCCCAGCTTGCTGCCTACAGGGCGCTCTGCGTGTGTCGAAGCAGGCCCAGAAGTCTGGTGGTTGGCAGCTCGAACAAACGCACTCAACTGTGGGCAGTGCAAGCGCAGCTTCTGCGGGCAGGGCCAGCCAGTCCGAGCCGCTGGCCACTCATTTGCTCACAGCGTGCGCGCCCACAGCGCACACGCTCCGACCAGCGCCAGCGGCTGCCCCCTGCCACGTGCAGCTTCATTACATGCCATAAGTGTCTCCTGTGACAAGCAGATGGCTGCCAGGGGGCACCGGTGGCAGCGACCGAAGCTTGCGGCGGCCACAGGTTGTCGGAGGCGGATCTTGGAGATTGGGCGCCGCAGATTGACCGCATCAAAACAACCTCGACGCGGGCGGCACGTGTCGTGTATGTGTCGACCATGATATCCCCATTCATTTTTGCATAGGTGTCCAAGGGCTGGGAGCGCTCACGCTGCCAAAGTTTAGTCAGCGCGCGAAGCGACCAGGTGATACTTCTTCCCTGCTTGTCTTCATCTCAACTCACACAAGTGAGAAGCGATATATACCCCGGCATGTGATAAAACTTCGCAACACCAGGAGGTCATGCGATAGCGGCAGACGATCCACAGCTTTTCTCACCTATTCCCGACCGTGAAACATTTTGGGAGCGGCTGGAATGCCTGGAATGCGTCTTCCTGACCCGGAAGACGCACTGCCGAGTGAGTGCAGCATGTCGTTTTACCAAGTCACGCGCTTGCCTGAAGCCGCCGGTCGAGGGGCTGAAGTATGTGATCGGCCAGTTTACCACATCCAATTTTTTTTGCCGCCCGCAACTGCCGTGCCAGTGCATGCCTGTGCTGTCCACACAGCGGTGCGCTGCAGGGGGTAATGATTTCTGCCGGCGCCGCCCATTATTCCGGTCCTCCCTGCCAGGCGAGGGCCCGCCAATGGCACCAATGGCGCTCCTGCACACTCAGTTCTCCACCTGGAGCAAGCGGTTCGCCTCTCTGACGCCGGCCAGCGAGGTGATATGCCTCAGCGACGATGCGGCAGCTTCCATCTGGGGCACGGCGTGGCTGGCGCAACACCAGGTGCGCTGCCCCCGAAAACATCTCCAGCGTCGCACCAGGGCCCTGCTCGCCCATGTGATTTATGGTGCCGAGGATTCGTGCCCCTAGTCCTGGCAGTGGCGGCCGGGAACCGCGTGGTCACCCTGGCCCGCGGTGACTCCCCTGCCCCCCCCCTGCGGACCGCCCCGCAGGCCGCGGCCGCGGGCGCCGCCCCGCCGGCCGCGCCCACCCCAGCTGAGCAGCACCTAGCTGCGGAGATCGATGCGGCAATTGCGCGCTTGGGCGGCGCCGTCACGCCGAAGCTGAACTGGAGCGCCCCTACCGACGCCGCGGCCGCGCTGGGGCCCCTTGGGCTGCGCTGCACTTGCGCCAGCCAGGTCATATCCCTGCTCCGCGCCTCCGAGCGCGTGGCCACCGACCTCGACCTCATCCGGCGCCTGCGCAATGGCAGCCACAACGGCGGCGGCGGCGGCAACGGCGGCGGCGGCGGTGTGGCGGCGGCGCCGCAGATCGCGCTGCGGCAGTGGGAGGACGGCCTTGAGCCGGCGCGGGAGCTGCGGTGCTATGTGCAGGACGGCGCCCCAACAGCCATCTTCCAGCGCGACCCGGTCGGCTTTTTCCCCGGACTGCAAGACCTGCAGGAGCAGGAGCGCCTACGGGCCGCGGTCTGCGCGTTCCATGCGGACTGCCTCGGCGGCTTCCCGCTGCCTTCCTGTGAGTTGCCGGACTGGCCCGCTTTGGGCCGACGACGGGGTGCCAGCGCTAGGCTTGATGCGCTTTGAAAACGCTGCGGAGAGGACTCACTGTTGCGGTTCGCCGCAGTGGGCGCGAGCCGAGTCGGCTGGCTCGGCAACGCAATCACCAGCTCCCGCCCTGCAGCCGCGGCTGGCTGCGCGCGCCCGCTGGGTCCTGACCCCCCCCGGTTCCATGCACACTCGCCCGCCGCGGCTGCCGCCGCACGTTGCAGCCGCGGGCCCGCCCCGCGCTGTCCGCGGACTGTCCGCGGACTGTCCGCGAACCCCGACCTTAGTCCGCCACCGCCGCGCCGCCGCAAACCCCGCAGACACCTTGGACGTGTTTGTCCCCGTCAGCGGCCCCGTTGTGCTCATCGACATCAACCCAGTCTTGGACACCTGCGGCGACGATGGCAACGGCGGCGCCAGCGGTGGCGACGACGCCGCCGCCCTGGCCGCCGCGGCGCCGCCGCCGCTGCCCGCCGAGCTGGAGCCCGACTTAGGGGCCGGGGCCGCGCCTGCGGGCGCGCCGCAGGGCGAGGGATCGCGGCCGGCCGGCGGGGGCTGGGGCGCGGGCGCGCCGGTGATCGTGGTAGACGCGAACTCCCTCAGGACGCAGCTGCGCGCAGCGGCAGCTTGCCAGTAGGCGGCTGGTGCGCGCGCGGCCCGCCACAGTTGGCCCCGCACCTCAGTCTGCACACAGGCGCGGCATCTGCCTGCCGCCCTTCGCCCGACGGGCAGGGAGGCATCTCGGCCCCGCAGGGTGCAAGACCCAAATGATCCTTTTTGGCTATGCACACCTTGGTGCTGGCCTGCGCCCCCCCCCCCTGTTACATATTCATCATCAGCCCTCGACCCTGCATCCGCCGCGGGCCCCTGCCGAGCGCCAACACACCGCACGCCACGCACACGTACGGCTCCGCGAGACCGTTGCGCGAAGCGTTTTGCCCTCCCAGCGACGCCCCTTCTCGTCGCCCCCTTCTGCTTGAAATGGCGTGGCGCGCCATTGGCTGGCGCCCCGCTGCTGAGCACCCAAGCAGGGGTTTCTTGATGCGCGGCGTTCTCATGACTCATATGACTTGCGAGGTTGGCTTGCGATAAGAAGTCGAGGGGGTTCCTGCAACACCCTGGTCGGGCACGGGAGTCCCACAATTCACTGATGACACCCTCTGCGCTGGCCTATGCTCGGAAGTTTGCACTAAGAAGTCCCGGGAAGCCCATTGTCCAGGGGGAAGGGGTGGGGTCCCCCAAACAATGCTGTGTTGCGCATGATCTCGAGACAACCCCTCAATGGGAGCACTGCACATTGCGGGCGCCGCCCTCGGCCGTGCACCGCCCTCGGCCGTGCACCGCCGGCCGCCAGACCGCGCCCCGCCGCAGGCTGGGCCGGCGGCGGCTGCTGGGCGCGTCACGGTCGGCTACGAAAGATTATGCGTGAATTTTTAGGGGTCGTTGAAGACCATGCACCCTGGGGCCCTCCAAAAAGTGTGGCCCCAGGCGGGGGGCGGAGGGGCGATGGCCGCCTGTCACACGGCCACACGCCCCCAGCCCGCCCTCTTGCTAGCAACGTTGACGTCGCCGCGCGAGCGGCGCCCCAATTAGACAGCCGGGCCTGGCTTGCAAGGGCCTCCGGTTTTGGGGCCTTCAAAACGCGGCCGGCTTTGTCGTTGCTCGCGCGTGCGCGCGCCGCGGCCAGCCGCAGCGCCAACTGCGAAGGCGCCACGCCACCTCGGGTTCCTCTGCGGCCCGCAGCCGCGGGTGCCCGCACCTGTCGATTCAACTAGCCTCACTTGCACCTCACCCTGCCCTTGGACTCGCACCGCTCACGCCATCGGGCCACTGCCACTGCACTCACAGCACCGTGCAGCGCCATCGCCACCCCAATGCGGGTGCCTTTGGGTTGCAGAACCGACATGCATGGCTGTACCACCCGCGCCGCTGCCGGCGCGTACCTGGCCCAAATGAGCCGGGCGCTCTTGCGCTCGCGCTCAGGGGGACACGTGATACCGCAGCGCGCCCTGTGCATTTAGCCACCCCGCGCTTTTCCGGGTGCGTCTCTTTCTTGTCAGGACAATGGGCCCCAGCTGCGCCCGGCAGGCTCGCCCCGCTCGCCCTGCTGTGCCTGGGCACGCCACAGGCGTTTTCGTCCGGCCCGTGGCCTGCACGCACGCGGGGCGCTCAGTTGCCGCTGCTTGGCGAGCTTTGCGCCCCAACGCGCAACTGGCGTGGCGCTGCTCTTCGTTCTGTGCGTCACGCTTCCAAGGAGGCTCGTGGCTTGAGGTGCGCTGCTACTTGAAGCCTCCTTCCCACTGCCCCCGGCTCGCCCTCGATTCCGCTCACCTGTGATGCACACCTCACAGCACCATCACACACGGCCCCCGCGCACCCCCCACCACCACCCCAGCACCCCAACTGCACCATCGTTGAGGGAGGGCCCGGGTGGGTGCGCGAGGCAGCTGGCACGTGGGCGAGCGGCCTGCTGGTTTTCCTGCACCTGCACAGGGTTCAGTCGGCCAAACGTTTGAGGCTTGTCGGGCCAACTTCAGCCATACCTAGCTTTACTTCCTGCTTCTAGCACCGTGGCTGTGCGGCAGCCAGCAAGCGCTGCGGCATGCACCATCGACAAAGAACGCTTTTCAATACTGCTTGTGTGGGCCGTACCGCGTGCAAGCTCTTATCCTGAGCCTTTGGCCTGCGTGTGAGCACAGCTGCGCGTGTTTCACAGGGCCTCATGTTGGTGAGGGATGTCCCAGGTTCGCACTTACTAGTACCCAGCTGGGCCGGCTGCAGCCGGCAGGGGTGATGGGCGCACGCCCGCGTGTCGTGCGGGGTCATTTGTGGGCGCGCATGTTATATGTACGTGCCTGTTTTTGTTGATGATTGCCACACGTGACGCCTTCCACCTGGCCACTGCCTTTTAGACAGGTGCCCGACTTCCATTCATTTTTCCCAGCTGGCTGGCTGGGATTGCACACACCGCTACTATGCTGTAACTCGCTCCCCACGATCCGCCAGTGGCTGCAAACTCTGTGTAAAGCTCTGCACGCGCGGGGCGCGGCCGACAGCAAATAACGAGATGTCGGACACTCCACCAGTCGCAGCAGACGTGGCTGCACACACAGTGGCTGGGGCACACAGTCCAACGCCCGATGGCGGCGGGGCTTGCGCGCCGGCTGCCGTTTGGACTGCTGGTCAAATCATGTCGTCTTGATTGGCTGAGTGTGGTCGGTCAGGGGCGAGCAAGAGGCCAGCGGGTGTGGCCTGTGAGCGCCCCACGTTGCAGAGCGAGTGTTTCAAACCAAAACCCAAGAGATGGCTGGGGTGTTGCAACTTGACGGGCTTCTGCATAGACTGCCATGCATGTGTGTGGGTGCTTTGCCCAGCACTTGACGGCAAGCATCTCTGTGCACGCAACAACTCGCAATGCCACAAAAGGCAGCACTTGCCAGTGAGAGAGGGCCCCCAAAGCCTAATTGCATGCGGCTGCTTGATGGTGGGCCCCGCCCGAAATGGCACACACAGCAAGCCAGGCCGCAGTTCGATGAGCATCAATGCGATGAGATGAGCAACATGCAGCAACACAGCGCAAGGCGGCGGTGAGCAACGACACGCTGCGCGGCAGGGCCGCTGCTGCAGCTGCGGCTGGGCGGTTGAGGCAAAGCCAGCAGTAAGGGAATCCAAAATCTGTGCTGAGGGCCACCTCGCGGGGTTGGGCGCTTCAAAACTGGGGCAGCCGCATGAGCGCCTCCTGGGAGGCCCTGTGACAAATTGGGGCACGCACTCTCAACCATTGATCAGCCAACGTGCAACCTGGCATATCACCCTGCTCTCACACTGCTACAGGCGACTGCCTACATACTTCCGACTCAAAATTGTAAAACCAGCTCGTGCAGCTGCACAGCGGCGCTGCATCCCTGCGTGCGTGTGGCGGCTGAGCAGCATGAATCGCCGAGGTTGTAGTGCATTTGCGCACGTGGTTGTGGACAGTGTGTGTGTGCGTGTGCGTGTGCGTGCGCTCAAAACAAGGGCAAGCGCTGGGATGGGGAGGGGGGTTGATGCGGCAAGTCACACTGTCACAAACGAGAGCCCTGGGCGTGCTCTCTCCGGCTGACAGCAAACCAGCACCACGACTTGCTGACAAGCATTCATTACGTGACCTTTGGTTGCAGTGCCGGCGACCGTGCCCCGGCACATCAAAACACCGCTGTGGCAGGGCCCCGCTATGAGCTGGGCCCAACTCCTGAGAACCTGCACGCATTGACCCATCACCGCCACGCCGCGCGCCGCGCTCACGTCCGAGCGCTGCGCGCCACGCGTGCCTGCAGCTCGCTACCGCGCCGATGGGCGCACAGGAGCCCCGTGGCTCCGTAAAACTCGGAGCCGGGCTCATGCTCACCTACGCGCCCGGCGAGCGGCGGCAGGCGGCAAAGTGCTGCGCAAACCAGGCGGCCGCCTTGGACGCGACGGCCTCCAGTGTCCCAGGCTCTGGAAACAGGTGCGTGGCTCCCGGGATGACATCCACTTCGACCTCTGGGCAACCTGCGCGGGCAGCAGCCGGCGTGGCATCGGGCGCGGTGGGCGGCGTAGCAGGGGAGGGGGAAGGGGGGGCGATAAAACAGGGGCGGCTGCAGCAGCGGCTTCAACTGTCTGTTGATTTGCGGTTGGTTGATCGGAATTGGCCGACTCATGGTGTCAGGCAGAGGAGGGTTGGTGTGCCATCTGCCGTTGTACTGTGCTGACAGTGGGCGGGGTCGGGCAACAGGGTTCAGGGTTTCTGAACGCCTGGAGACGGGTGAGGCAGCGAGCTGACTAGGGGGAACCCGTTGCGACTTTCAGAACTAAAACATCTGGTCTTACCTGACGCACGCTGCAAGGCGGCCATCTCGCACGCCTGGTGAACCCGCACCGCTCTTTCACCAGCCCTTCCCCACAGCAACACAAGACCCGGTCGAACCCGGTCAAACACGGCAGCATGCGTGTCAGCATCCCCGGCGGTGCGAAGGCACCCCAACCCCCTCACCTGTCATGGCGCGGGCCGCGTCCTCGTTGAGCGCACGCACATCCCTGTCGCGCCCCCCCACCAGCAGCAGCGTCGGCGCCGTCACCCGCGGCAGGCGGCCGGCGGCGAGGTCCGGCCGGCCGCCGCGTGACACGACGGCGGCGACGGCGGGGCCGAGGTCCGCGGCGGCCCACAGCGCGGCGCCGCCGCCTGGTTCCGTGCGCGAGCGCGCGCGGCCGGGGAAGGGACGCCAGGTAGAGCGGCACAGTCAAAAGGGGCACGCTTCTGCGAGGCGGCTGTCAACGCCACCTGCCTTTTCACGCTTGCTGTCACCAGCTGCCATAAATACGCTACCAGAGCAGTAAACGCCCGCAAGTCAAGTCAACACTCTGCACGCCTGGCACAGCCCCCAGATCGACAGATTGACATGCCGCCAATTTCCGCGAAACCCGCGATTGGCAGAAACCCCTCACCGGTGGATGCGCCGAAGAAGCCGACCGGCAGGGCAGGGTCGAGCCCCAGTGAGGCGCCCTCGGCCCTCAGCCACCCCAGCGCCCCCTCAAGGCGGCCCGCCAGCAGGGGGATGTCAAAGACGTTGCGGCGGTTGGATGACTCGTTCTCTGTCAAAAGGTCAAACAGCAGCGTAGCGACGCCCGCCTGCAGGGGGGGTTTCGGGTTTGGGGGTTTTGGCATTTAACGGTTGGCTTTGGGGGTTTAGGGAACGAAGGGTTGGTTCTAGGTGTGTGAGAGTTGGGGTGTGTGAGTAGCGTCGCCAGCTGTGTGTGTGCGTGGGGGGGTGCGGGGTGGGGGACAGCTTGGGCCGCAAAGGTTGAGCTGTGCGCATGCCCGTCTGCTGCAGCGACCCCAGAATGTATGACTCGTGGCCGCCGCCGTCGGCTGGGCCGGCGCACGCCGCTGCACTCGTTCCGCAGGCCGGCCGGGCCATGCAAATGGCTCCACGGCCACATGCAAGCGTCTGCCTTGAGGTGTGCCCCCTTATCACCACCACCAACCAGAATCCTGTCATAATCCTAATCCTAAGATAACAGAGCAGTGCGTGAGAAAACTGCATTATGCACCAGGGAGTAAACCGGCTCAGGCCTCACGGTGCCAAACCCACGCACCTCGTTCAGAGCAGAAGCAACCTGTCGGTTGCGCGGGCTCAGCCGGCCGCTGCCGCTGCCATGCGCGAACAGCACAGCGCCGGCCGAGCCCGCCGGCACCGCCAGCGTGCCTGGCAGTGACACGGCCGCCGCGGCGTCGCCGCCCGGCGGGATGCTGACAAGGACCTCCCTCTCAACCACCGGCGGCCGCCGCTGGTGCTGAGCAGCGGCTGGCGTGGCACCCGCAGGCGCGCCGGCGGCTTGTGCGGCGGCGGCGGCGGCCGCGTGTTTGGCAGCCGTGCCGCGGTCGTCGCCAGCCGCTGCGACGGCCGGCTTCCGCCGCCCGGCGGCGGCGGGCGCAGCTGCGGCGCCCTGGTCGCCCCCACCGCGCCGCGCCGGCGCGTCGGCCGGCCCCTCCCCTCTCTCTCCGCCCTCCGCCC